CCCCAGTAAGCTGTTGGTTCTGTATCCTTTCAGGTTAGAGCCAAAATATTTACTGCTGTAAGAGTGGCAACAGACAGCAGCGCTGAACATGGATTGTAAGGTGCTTTATCAGAGTATTATAACCGGAGGGTGAGACTGAGAGATTACAATGTGTCCTCTGTGCGGATGGGATGTTTCAACTGGGTTTGTGACTGGGAGTTACAGTTAGCACCACTACGGGCTAAATCTCATAGGGGAAGAGAATATCAGGCCCCAAGGTCTAAATGAACAGTACCCGCTATTGACGAACACTTGAATGTGTTCTGACCTATAGAAATAAATACTTGATGTCACTGTAGGGCACAATGATTGTGTTATAGTAAAATGCTTCATGATACAGATATGACAAATCTATACATTTTAGCTCATTTTGATTATGCATTTTATGGCAAAAAACTGTTAAAGTTGACTTTTGTGTCAGTAAACCAACTCCGCTGTTTCCAGATCACTGACTGGCCAGGTGGAGGGAGACTTGCTGACTTACCATTCCATGCCGGAGGTAGACTGAAACGGATAAGGATATCATGGCCTGAAGTTGGCTTTCAAGCTGTGTGTGTGTGTGTGTGTGTGTGTGTGTGTGTGTGTGTGTGTGTGTGTGTGTGTGTGTGTGTGTGTGTGTGTGTGTGTGTGTGTGTGTGTGTGTGTGTGTGTGTGTGTGTGTGTGTGTGTGTGTGTGTGTGTGTGTGTGTGTGTGTGTGTGTGTGTGTGTGTGTGTGTGTGTGTTTGCGTGTGTGCGTGTGTGCGTGTGTGTGTGTGTGTGCATATCTGTCCAGATGTACTGTATATTTGTGTCAGTTATATTTTCATCCCAGGTCCCACTGTGCTGCGGACACAAACACATCATGTGACAGAGAGCAGTGCCTCAGCTGAAGCATAGGATTGATCTCACCTCTGCTTTCTCTCTGCCAGAGTCACACTCTCCTTGCCACTCACTCCCTCCTTTCCTTTCTTCCATCCCTCCCTCATTCACTTACTCACTTTCCGACACAAATAACTAATGTCTCCCAACTAAATCAGGTCCAACTATATGATTGAGAAGAAAGCATGGTGCAGTTTGTTCAATAGTCATTTCTCCCCATCAACACTGCTGAAAATGACTTGGCTTTCTCTTTCTCCTTTTCTTACAACAGAGAATTGGCAGAAATGTGATGTGCCAGCTTGAAATGGATTTGGTAATAAACCTATGCGTCTTTCTCTTTCTTACTTTATCTTGCTTTCTCTCTTTCTCCCTTCCCCCCTTTCTCTCTTTCTCTCCTCTCCTCCCTTCCCCCCTTTCTCTCTTTCCTTCCCTCCCCCCTTCTCTCTTTCTTTCTCCCTCCCCCCCTTTCTCTCTTTCTCCCTTCCCCCCTTTCTCTCTTTCTCCCTCCCCCCCTTTCTCTCATTTCTCCCTTCCCCCCTTTCTCTCTTTCTCCCTTCCCCCCTTTCTCTCTTCTATTAGTCCATTCTAAAAATAAGAACCGGCAGACGTGCGTGAGGAAGAGTCTGATCTGCGCCTTCGCCATGGCCTTCATCATCAGCGTCATGCTCATCGCGGCCAATCAGATGCTGCGGAACGGCCTGGAGTAGCCACACCCGGCCACACCCACTGTGAGCGGGAAAAACAAACCTGCATGTGCATGATGACAGTGGGTGAGGTAATTTCCTGTTTCTTTAGAAAAAAAGAAAAAAAAACTTCAACAATGCCTCACTGATGGTGACATAAAAACGAAAAACACTGACTGATAAACCACCAGATTTGTATGATTTTTCTGAGTGGATGACAGTCCGATGTCCAACGACACTGAGAAGCCAGCATGAGGAGTCCAGCGAGACCCCTCATAACTCCTTTACTCTGGCAGGGACATTCAAGGGCTGACTTTTGCTTACTCTGCTGTCACTGTTCCCTAATGCAATAAAAACACAAGTACAGGAGTTCAGTACTCTTCTTCTCTTCTCTTCTCTTCCCTACCCAGTCTTCATATGAAGGTATTTTAGAAGACAATTTTAACTTCTTGCCTCAGAAGGCAGAATCATGGTGGATTGAGACAGGCCCTCAGTGTATCTGTATAAGGCAGCATCCTTGTGGATTGAGACATACCCTCAATTGTATCTGTGTGAGAGAGATTGGAGCTGTGCCTCCTGCACTGCAGAGAGCTTGATGAGCTACGGGGCGCACCGCTGCAGTCTGGCTACGCACACACACACACACACACACCACACACACACACACACACACACACACACACACACACACACACACACACACACATACACACACACACACACACACACACACACACACACACATATACACACACACATACACACACACACAAACAAACAAACAAACAAACACACACTGAAATAATTGGCCTGTTATTCTAGTTTCCTGAGGGGAGGTGGAACCCAGCTCACCACTGGAGCATTTAGTAAGGCTTGGGATGCTTCAGGCATGATGGTGCCATCTGCTGTAGGGCTGGTGTTTAAGCTGTTCTAGAAGCTTTCATCCAGAGTTCAGGAGTGAAATCAGTGGGTATTCCTGTGCCCAATATTTCCCTATATGTAAAATGGAAAAATGTGTCACTGTTACTTTCTCTGTGTACATTGCCAGTGCTAAACAGAACAGTGTTTGAAAGACCATAGCTGTGAAAAGTATGGGCTGTACTGTACCTATGATCTAATTCCTCTTGAGGTAGGTAGGTCTGAACTCCTGTATTGTATTGACTCTCATGGTAATATTTAAACCACCTTCAGTTTTGCTGAGGACTGCTTGTAACACCTACAGTACTGCATGCGATCAAGTCAACGTTGATATGTAAATATGTATGTAACCCATGTTGTTGTTGTCTAAGTGTATTGGGTGACGGTGTTCTACTCTGTATGTGCATGATTGTTGGTACAGTCTGCTTTAGCAGATTTAGAGGTGGAGGGAAGGAGAGAGCACTGTGAAACCAGAAGCTGCTGCCTTCCACATCACAATACACAGGCAGGTAGACAGACAGAGACACAGCTCTCTCTCTCTCTATGTTCCCCTCACCCTCTGGCCAAAGCCATAGAACTCAATAGAGATGTACTGATTGAAGAACACTAAATGGTTGTTGTTTTCTGTTACAAATGTGTATTTTTGGTAGGAACAGTCCATCATTTGTGTATGTTGTTGGGTTCCTTCACCCTGCCTTTTGCACTGTATAATAATTTCCATCTATCCCAATGAGCAGAACGGAGAGAAGAATCACAGACTGGTAAAAGAGCCCCATCTAGAGCTTGGCTCCAGAATTCTGATATTCTTTGCAACACAATTCATGTGCTCTCCTAGCTCTAGTCCAGGGCAAATAATCCATCCCTTGTATTCAGATGTCTAATCATCAGAACATGAAATGTTGGAATATAATATTATGATTCTTATCTATCTTATCTGTATAGAAGGTTTTATGAAATGATGAATGTTCTACCTAAATAATTGTTGGTTCGATTAACTGCACTGTTTGTGGAACATACATAGTAGTCTATTTATTGGAATTCTATGTCTTGCCCATGGCAGAAAATCTCCTTTCTAATCACCTTGAAGAGGCTTGCATTAAAGTATGATCAATGAACGTCCCCATTAATTTTAACATAATGTTTGGATGGATGGCTCCTCTGTTAAGTTTTCATATTTGTTTTATGATGTCAAAGTAAAAGCACTGATTTGTGTGCAATATCATCTTGCAAATACAGTAGGCTACACTGGATTTAATATTGTTGAGACCACCAATTTAAGCCTAATAGGTGGCAAATTCTCACCTCATTCATTATCTAATGTACTCTGTCAAAGTGGAGTTTGTTCCTTATTTAGCTGTTTTGTGCCATCACCCTTGTCTGCTTCATTAATGGCACCCTAATACATATGTAGTGCACTACTATTGACCAGGGCCCATGGGGCTCTGGTCAAAGTAGTGCACTATAGAGGGAATAGTGTCTCATTTGGGACACAGCCCACCCTAATCCCACGATACACTGTAATACCAGGGTATAGTCAGAGCCTTATGTTTATGAATAAATAAATACATGTTAGCCCACATAAAAGGCTCTGGCCTGGGTATACTATACAGTTACAGGGGGTGGAGCTGTACCTACCCTCACAGAATCAGTGCATGTCTTGATCATTAAAACTGATGGTGAATTAGGCTGGAAAACTAACACAGTCTCACTTCAGTAGCATGGTGGTTGAATTGCACATATATGTGCTGTATGGACACTGTACATAAAATACATATATATACAGTACATACACGTACACATGTAAACTGTGCATGCACACCATTAAAACATGTAGGGGCAGTTTCCCGGACACAGATTAAGCCTTGTGCTGGACTAAAAAGCAAGATCAATGGAAAATCTCAATTGAAAGTGCTTTTTAGTCCAGATTTAAGTTGTAATATTAAGAATAGCCTGAATATTGTCTCTGTAAATATTAAAATCTGTACAAAAGTAAATGGAAAGCATTTATGCAATAAAACATCTCCTTTTTGGTAAAGATTGTTTTTCTCATTGTCTTTCATCAGATAGGACTAGTGTTGTGTAGGAGAAGACCACAAGATGGATGTATAAGCCAGTACATTTCTTTGCTGTAAGCCTGGTTGTAAGTTATAGATCAGGGCCCATTTTTACAAAGCATCTCATGTTTTTAATGGCTGCCTCCTCCTTTACTCCCTCACAGACACACCGCATAGTGAATGTGATTGTTCTATTCATACACATGCCGCATTCTCATGGCTCTGCTAGAAGTACCCTCCGCTGATGCTAGCCAGCTGGGTTAGCCAGCTGACAGTCCTTTGAAATCGCTCTAAAAAAATGTTTTGGGATGCCCTCCTTCACAGTTTTTCACTCAAAATGAAAGACAAGTAAGTAGAGGACTAACTAATGAGTACAAAGCACGGCATGTCAGAGATAGTTGTGCTGAATCCTGAATCAGTCAAAAAACTGTTTAGAGTCTTAATTCGCTTAGGGGTTTTCATATTTGTTTATTTTCAATTTGTTATGATCTTAATGGGTTGGTGAAAAGGAAGTGCTAAAACCCTTTCAAGAAATCCCATCATTGAAGTTGAATAAATCTGTTGCAATAAAGGCTGCATGATGTGTTAATATGGTATCAACTTATTCACCCCATATGGTGTAATAGTTATTTGCATCCACAAATGTTTTTTTGTTTTAATAATACAGTATGACATCTGATACAATTCAGTACAATAACACTATCTTGGTCAAAGAAGAATTCTGCATCATGCTGTGGCTACTGCTTCATTGTGTTTTTGATGTTCCACCTCTGTCCGGAGCAGGTCTGAAGCACCAGCAAGTGTCCGAAGTAAACGTTAGCATGTATCACCTCCAGACAGCGGCCCGTGGCTCTGTTGATGATCGACTCGTTCTGAAGGACAGATGAAATCGAATGTTCTCAATTGAGTAGGCTACTACCTTCATGTGTCCTCATAGTATTCATAAAGAGTCTCAGACTAAAAGTGCTGATCTTGGATCAGTTTAGCCTTTTACATTATAATGAATGGACAAGGGGGATCTGATCCTAGATCAGCATTCCTACCCTGAGATGCTTTATGAATACGGGCCCTGATCACTGTCGGCAACAGTCACCTCCAGGCAGCTTCTATCATTTTTTATTTCCGCTTCACAGGTCCTTACAATGTGGTTATATTACAGTGTTACTACACAGGATTACCCTACACAGAACCTTACAATGTGGTGTTATTACAGTGTTACTACACAGGGTTAGCCTACATAGAACCTTACAATGTGGTGTTATTACAGTGTTACTACACAGGGTTAGCCTACATAGAACCTTAATGTGGTGTTATTACAGTGTTACTACACAGGGTTAGCCTACATAGAACCTTACAATGTGGTGTTATTACAGTGTTACTACACAGGGTTAGCCTACACAGGTATGGCATGGCAGGGGCTTGTTGCGGCCCTATGCTCTACAGGGAACGAAGAGGAGTAAGTAAATAAATAAGTAAGCAAGTAACACGGTATAAGAGCAACTTAAATTGAAAGAATGAGCCATTGTTAAAAATTAAAAACGATGTAAAAATGAGTCTGACCTGAGAGAAGTGCCATGTGGTCAGCCTGGTGTTGGAGACTTTGTCACAGTTGAGGAGCTGAGGGAAATTGGAGACCTGGTCGTCCATCAGACAGCGTGTTTCCTCCCCTGTACTGCCCAGAGCACCCAGGAAAAACTGGCCCTCCTTGGTGTACCGACCCAACTGGAAGGGACAGGGATACTCTACTGTGAATGGCTGTTCAAGGGCTATCAACAACAACTATATGTGTTCTCCCCTGTACTGGCCAGAGCACCCAGGAAGAACTGGCCCTCTTTGGTGTTCCGAATGGTGGGAGAGAGACACAGGGAGACAAAATGAAGTAAGCGGTGGATGGTAAAGGGCTATCAACAACAACTAGGTGTGTCCTCCTCAACTGGGAGGAACACACAGAGATAGGTTACAGTAGTACATGGCTAAATGATAAAAAGTGATCAAATATTTGTATTTCCCAAGAATGCTAACACATTCTTTTTTGACAGTGAAGTCTGTTGTATTACGTTTCCTGGAGAGCAAGTTGTTTGTTTCTATTCTTTGAAATGATTTGTGATATGATATCACATCCGCTCTCATTCAAAGTGGATCTTTAAAAAAAACTCAAAAGCATTAACATAATATGATTTTGAGACATTTTGTTTTGACTGTAAAACCAGTCATGATATCTGCTACATTTGTATGTCACAGGGGCAAAGGGCTACATTCTGGTAGTTTTGCTGACGTTTTGTCCATGTTTGTGTATGAACCACATAAAAAAAAAAAAAATACAAAATACAAAAATATACAAAAATACAAAATACACAAACAATTATTTTTATAATAAAAGATAGAAAAGGTACAAAAAATTTACTAAAGAAAAAGGTACAAATAAATAAACAATTTAATGAAAAATATTTTTTTAAATACAAAAATTATATATATAATACAAATGAAAATTCTAAATATACTCGAAAAATTAAGAATAAAAAAATTAGTAAAATATATTTTTTTAAATTGTCAAGTGGTTGTCCCACTGGCTATCATAAGGTGAATGCACCAATTTGTAAGTCACTCTGGATAAGAGCGTCTGCTAAATGACGTAAATGTAATGTAAATGTACATTTAATTTGGAATAAAAACACATTCTGGTATAAAAACGTTTCCCTGCAGATTTTGCTCTCACAGCTTGCAGGCACAGTACCTCTCTGGTGAACCTATAATGTGTCCCAAATAGCACCCTATTTCCTATAGTGCACTACTTTTGGGACATATACCTAGTATAATAGGTTACCTGAGGTCCCATTCCGTGACATGGGTGCAGGGTGGCCGTGTGGTTCACCTTCTCTCCCTGGTCCATACACAGATGGGTCGCTTTGCTACTACGAATCTACAGGGAGAGAGAGAGAGAGAGAGAGAGAGAGAGAGAGCGAGAGAGAGAGAGATGGAGGGGGTAGAGAGAGAAAGACGAGAGAGAAGAGTGGAGGGGTAGAGAGAGAGAGAGAGAGAGAGAGAGAGAGAGAGAGTAGAGAGATGGAGAGAGAGATGGAGGGGGTAGAGAGAGAAAGAGAAAAAGACAAAGAGAGAACGGGTGGGAAACTTTTTATGAGGGGAAAAAGCTACTTGGCTGCTAAAAGCATGTTTGATGAGTGTTTAGTAAAACTTTGTGTGTAGGCCCTGTCGCCAGTCAGACTCACCTCCCCGTAAAAGAGAGTGTTGTTGTACCTCCTCATCTCTGGATAGACGTTGTCCAGGTACCACTCAAAGTTCTTACATTGCAGAGACTTCCTCAATGCAACCCTCTGAGAGATGTCCCCATAGTCTATCCCATGGTTCTGGAACAGGGAGTGGTTGATTACAGATTGTGTCCCAAATGGCACCCCAAAGTAGCCTCGCGAGCCATCCTATTCTCACGACCTTACAATAATGGTTAGCTGCACAGAATTCCGGGTGGCTCACGAGGCTAACCCCATAAGGCTCTGGTCAAATACAGTGGGGGAAAAAAGTATTTAGTCAGCCAGCAATTGTGCAAGTTATAATTTTTATCATAGGTACACGTCAACTATGACAGACAAAATGAGAAAAGAAATTCCAGAAAATCACATTGTAGGATTTTTTATGAATTTTTTGCAAATTATGGTGGAAAATAAGTATTTGGTCACCTACAAACAAGCAAGATTTCTGGCTCTCACAGACCTGTAACTTCTTCTTTAAGAGGCTCCTCTGTCCTCCACTCGTTACCTGTATTAATGGCACCTGTTTGAACTTGTTATCAGTATAAAAGACACCTGTCCACAACCTCAAACAGTCACACTCCAAACTCCACTATGGCCAAGACCAAAGAGCTGTCAAAGGACACCAGAAACAAAATTGTAGACCTGCACCAGGCTGGGAAGACTGAATCTGCAATAGGTAAGCAGCTTGGTTTGAAGAAATCAACTGTGGGAGCAATTATTAGGAAATGGAAGACATACAAGACCACTGATAATCTCCCTCGATCTGGGGCTCCATGCAAGATCTCACCCCGTGGGGTCAAAATGATCACAAGAACGGTGAGCAAAAATCCCAGAACCACACGGGGGGACCTAGTGAATGACCTGCAGAGAGCTGGGACCAAAGTAACAAAGCCTACCATCAGTAACACACTACGCCGCCAGGGACTCAAATCCTGCAGTGCCAGACGTGTCCCCCTGCTTAAGCCAGTATATGTCCAGGCCCGTCTGAAGTTTGCTAGAGTGCATTTGGATGATCCAGAAGAGGATTGGGAGAATGTCATATGGTCAGATGAAACCAAAATAGAACTTTTTGGTAAAAACTCAACTCGTCGTGTTTGGAGGACAAAGAATGCTGAGTTGCATCCAAAGAACACCATACCTACTGTGAAGCATGGGGGTGGAAACATCATGCTTTGGGGCTGTTTTTCTGCAAAGGGACCAGGACGACTGATCCGTGTAAAGGAAAGAATGAATGGGGCCATGTATCGTGAGATTTTGAGTGAAAACCTCCTTCCATCAGCAAGGGCATTGAAGATGAAACGTGGCTGGGTCTTTCAGCATGACAATGATCCCAAACACACCGCCCGGGCAACGAAGGAGTGGCTTCGTAAGAAGCATTTCAAGGTCCTGGAGTGGCCTAGCCAGTCTCCAGATCTCAACCCCATAGAAAATCTTTGGAGGGAGTTGAAAGTCTGTGTTGCCCAGCGACAGCCCCAAAACATCACTGCTCTAGAGGAGATCTGCATGGAGGAATGGGCCAAAATACCAGCAACAGTGTGTGAAAACCTTGTGAAGACTTACAGAAAACATTTGACCTGTGTCATTGCCAACAAAGGGTATATAACAAAGTATTGAGAAACTTTTGTTATTGACCAAATACTTATTTTCCACCATAATTTGCTAATAAATTCATTAAAAATCCTACAATGTGATTTTCTGGATTTTCTTTTCTCATTTTGTCTGTCATAGTTGACGTGTACCTATGATGAAAATTACAGGCCTCTCTCATCTTTTTAAGTGGGAGAACTTGCACAATTGGTGGCTGACTAAATACTTTTTTTCCCCACTGTATAGTGCACTATATGGGGAATGGGGTGCCATTTGAGACGCATACACAATTACAAATATATAACATTAGCAATTAAATGTATGGTGTACATATACTGTATAATGTAGTTAGGATAATGAATAGATAAACTGAAATAGACTAGAGAAAATCTAGGTAGGGGAATAGGCGTTTTATCTGAACATATGTACGCAAAACTGATCATAGATCAGTGTATAGCGGGAACTCCCTGACCTGGAGCTCAATCTGAACACACATTTTCATATGCCAAAAAAAACAGTATGTTTTTTAAATCAATATGTTGGAGCAACTCACTTCCATTGGGATGTTCCAGGCCAGGTAGACATGGGACTTAAACTGGTCCATCCAGACCTCGGCCACACGCAGGGCATTACGCCGCGTGCTGGAGGCTATGTTGCTGTGGTAGGGCTTCTTCATCCTGGCGATGTGAGCCACTCTGGAGCAGGGCAGCACCTCCATACTGCCCCCACACAGCCACACCTGGTAGTTGGTGGAGAAATAGTATGAGAACAGAACATATACCTTCACACACAACAAATGTTCTGCAGGATTAACACAAATAATTAAGAAGGCAAGTAGACAAACACACAAACAAACATAACCCAATGCTTAGTTCTACTCATAGAACCACAATTACGTACTTGCTGAAATACGACAAGACACACATCAAATACAGGATACAGAATACAATATTCACACACTAGTCACCCTGCCTCTCACCACCCTAACATACAGTTACTGCGTCCCAAATGGTACCCTATTCCCTTTATAGTGCACTACTTGTGACCAGGGCCCAATTATGCTCAGCCTTCACAGAAGAATGGGTGCCACACAAACCTTGATCCCCAGTTCGATGTTCTCTCCTCCGTAGACATCCATGCCAGAGTCCAGGAGCCCCAGGTGCCCAAAGTAGTCCCGGTTCACCACAAAGGAGCAACCAATCATTGCAGGAGTTCTGAGGGGGGAAAGAGGGGGATTCTGTTTTTCTTATTTTGGCGATGGGGTTCTCTAAATTCAAGTGTTTATTTAGTTGTGTGTGTGCGCGTGCAGGTGTGTGCCCGTGTGTGTGTGTGCCCGTGTGTGTGCGTATGCGTGCCCGTGTGTGTGTGTACGCGTGCCTGTGCGTGTGTGCATATGCGTGCCTGTTTGTGTGTAGCCTACCTAATGGGTGCAGAGGTGTCCCCGTCATCCCACCACTGTTTGGGGGGGTTGATGTACATGCACCACAGCTCCCAGTTGTAGCCATGGCCAGAGTTCTCGTAGCGCTCCAGCTCAAACGTCTCGTGCTTGATGTTGTCGATGGAGGGCAGGATGATCCTCTTGTGGTCCTCTTTGATTCTGGTCAGAACCGGCTCAGCCCTGACATAGAGAGACAGACAGATGGGGCCGGAGGTTTCTTAAGATCTCCTCTCTCCTTCTCTCTCTTCCTCCCTACGCCTCCAAGTCAGTCCCCCTAGTTCTTCTGAGTTGGATTTATAAGTTATTCTTTTTGAGTCGGCTCAAAGGGTTACAACTCCATAGGGAGAAGCAGTTCCCTGTGTAGTGGGTAGTTCTTCTGTGTATCCGTGGGCCCTGGTCAACTCTAGTGTATACAGTGCCTTGCAAAAGTATTCATCCCCCTTGGCGTTTTTTCCTATTTTGTTGCATTACAACCTGTAATTTAAATGGATTTTTATTTGGATTTCATGTAATGGACATACACAAAATAGTCCAAATTGGTGAAATGAAAAATATAACTTGTTTCAAAGAATTCTAAAAAATGAATAACGGAAAAGTGGTGCATGCATGTGTATTCAACCACTTTGCTATGAAGCCCCTAAGTAAGATCTGGTGCAACCAATTACCTTCAGAAGTCACATAATTAGTTAAATAAAGTCCACCTGTGTGCAATCTAAGTGTCACATGATCTGTCACATGATCTCAGTATATATATACCTTTTCTGAAAGGCCCCAGAGTCTGCAACACCACTAAGCAAGGGGCACCACCAAGCAAGCGGCACCATGAAGACCAAGGAGCTCTCCAAACAGGTCAGGGACAAAGTTGTGGAGAAGTACAGATCAGGGTTGGGTTATAAAACAATATCAGAAACTTTGAACATCCCACGGAGCACCATTAAATCCATTATAAAAAAATTGAAAGAATATGGCACCACAACAAACCTGCCAAGAGAGGGCCGCCCACCAAAACTCACGGACCAGGCAAGGAGGGCATTAATCAGAGAGGCAACAAAGAGACCAAAGATAACCCTGAAGGAGCTGCAAAGCTCCACAGCGGAGATTGGAGTATCTGTCCATAGGACCACTTTAAGCCGTACACTCCACAGAGCTGGGCTTTACGGAAGAGTGGCCAGAAAAAAGCCATTGCTTAAAGAAAAAAAGAAGCAAACACGTTTGGTGTTCACCAAAAGCCATGTGGGAGACTCCCCAAACATATGGAAGAAGGTGCTCTGGTCAGATAAGACTAAAATTGAGCTTTTTGGCCATCAAGGAAAACGCTATGTCTGGCGCAAACCCAACACCTCTCATCACCCTGAGAACACCATCCCTACAGTGGAGCATGGTGGTGGCAGCATCATGCTGTGGTGATGTTTTTCATCGGCAGGGACTGGGAAACTGGTCAGAATTGAAGGAATGATGGATGGCACTAAATACAGGGACATTCTTGAGGGAATCCTGTTTCTGTCTTCCAGAGATTTGAGACTGGGACGGAGGTTCACCTTCCAGCAGGACAATGACCCTAAGCATACTGCTAAAGCAACACTTGAGTGGTTTAAGGGGAAACATTTAAATGTCTTGGAATGGTCTAGTCAAAGCCCAGACCTCAATCCAATTGAGAATCTGTGGTATGACTTAAAGATTGCTGTACACCAGCGGAACCCATCCAACTTGAAGGAGCTGGAACAGTTTTGCCTTCAAAAATCCCGGTGGCTAGATGTGCCAAGCTTATAGAGACATACCCCAAGAGACTTGCAGCTGTACTTGCTGCAAAAGGTGGCTCTACAAAGTATTGACGTTGGGGGGGTGAATAGTTATGCACGCTCAAGTTTTTTCTGTTTTTTTTGTCTTATTTCTTGTTTGTTTCACAAGAAAAAATATTTTGCATCTTCAAAGTGGTAGGCATGTTGTGTAAATCAAATGATACAAACCCCCAAAAAATCTATTTTAATTCCAGGTTGTAAGGCAACAAAATAGGAAAAATGCCAAGGGGGGTGAATACTTTCGCAAGCCACTGTACATAAGGAACATACCAACCATGACTGTACTTGAATACTAGGCCTACTTTTAATACTGTCAGTTGATAAAAGCTTATGGCAATTCACTTCTTTAGATTATCATTACAAATATGGTCATGCAATACAGTATGCTAGATGGCTAGATGGTTAGTAGTAGTATGAAATTCCTTCAGCTGGAAAATCTCACACTGCTGCTTGACCAACTGCTGAATTCAAGTATTCCTTCTGATCCCCCCCTTTAAGTCAAAGTTTGTTAAACCATCGATCCCAACAACTCAAAGTTCAACTTGAAACCCACACATACACTCACCAGGAGGGTGTGAACTCAACGTGGGCATCGAAGAAGCCTGTCACCTCGCCACTGGCTGCCTTCCAGCCCTCAATGCGGGCACGGATCAGTCCCTCACGCTTCTGGTTCCTCACAACTTTCACCAGGCCTGGGTAACGCTTGTTTACATAATCCTCCAACGGCCCTTTCAGTTGCTCTAGGACACACAACCAAATACAACTAAGCAAAGCTACACACACAGACAAACATATGCATGCAGACACACACAGAGGCACACCCACAAACACTTTCAGAAAAACACTCAAGTGCATGTGAGCACACACACACACACACACCAGCATGCATGTACGCACACACACACATGCACACACGCATACACAGAGACATACACACACACACAGACACAGAGAGAGAGAGAGAGAGAGAGAGAGAGAGAGAGAGAGAGAGAGAGAGAGAGAGAGAGAGAGAGAGAGAGGAGAGAGAGAGAGAGAGAGAGAGAGAGAGAGAGAGAGAGAGAAGATGAATCTATTTTCATGCGCTCCAGTGCTTTCTAACAGTCTCACAACAACACCAGGGGGAGTTGGGTGCTTCCTGAGCTATGGCTTCTGCTCTACCTTTGATCTCTCGCTCAACTGATCAGCTTTGTCCCCCTGGACATGCTCTCAAAACCCCCACTTCCCTCACACAAACACACACTGGCGGATGTGCTCAATAGTGTGCAACTGCAGCCCATTGGATCCTGCATGAACCAGCACGACATCTTCATGCTTGTGACACTTTTGAATATGGGTCAAAAGGGAAATAAAAGTATTATCTGAGTTTTCACCCACGCCTCCCGGAGTCCTCCTTGCTAGTTAGCAGGAGCGACACCGGTAGACAGTGTCCTACGATACCGCCTGTCGAACACATGCCCTCACTGTCATTAACAGAACTGCGGGAAAACAGTGCCTGACACCCGGGGGTCCTACCGGTCGCCCCTGCCTCCCACAACAGGCAGGAGGCTGGGACGACACCATGCGCTAGCTAACTAGCTAACTTGTGAGCGACACCGTGAGCTAGCTTGTTAGTTAGCTAGCACACGGTGTCGGCCCAGCCTCCCGCCTGCTGAGAAAACCGTGCCTGACAGGCGGGGGCCAAGGACACTGTCTACCGGAGTCTCCCCCCGCCTACCGCTAGCACAGAAGGTGGGAGGATGGGGGGGACCGCATGCTAGCTAACTAGCTAGCTTGTGAGTTAGTGACACTGCGTGCTATCTTGCTAGTTAGCTAGCACACAGTGTCACCCCCGCCTTAAACACTTACAAATAGAAGTATAAAAAGGGGTTCCTGCAGATGCAGGAATGCCCAAATGCAGGAATTCCCCGAATTGCACCCTTCTAAATGTGCTGGCGGATGTGCAGTGCATGTGTGGCTGACAGGAGAAGAGTTAGAGGGTGTGTGTTATTTGTTTGCATGCATCTCCATCTCAACCACTGCAATAGCTTATTTTTCCCCCTCCATGATGGATTGCTGCCCTCTGCCGTCCTGCCGTGCCAGGAACATAGGGGAAATTGAACCGCCTCTCTCTCCTTTTTCTCTTTCCCTCTCTGCCCCTCACCTCTACTAAACTCACTTCCACCCTTTCACTCTCTCCTTCTACCCACATCTCTCCCTTCATTTCTATATGCACCTTTCATTGTCTTTGTCTTCCTCTCTCTAACCACCTCTCTCTGCCCACTGCTTAATCTCTTCACAACTCTCCCTCTCCTCCCTTCCTGTCCCTCTCCTTGGATGGATTTTGTCTTGCCTTGATCTGACTGTCCTGTCCGTGCAGCAAAACAGCATGTTGGACAAGGATGTCTTTATAAAGCATAGAATAGAATAGAATTCAATTAAATATCATATGAATATGCATCAATGTATATTGGATGTGTGTGTGTGTTCTCATACCATTTCTTCACCAAAATGCACTTCCAGATATGAGTGTGAGTGTGTGTGTGTGTCTATGTGTCGGCGTGTGTGGCAGTGTGTGTGTGTGTGTGCATGTGTATTTCTCCTCACCGTCATCGCTGTAGTCGTCCACCAAGATGATCTCTTTGAGGAGGTGAGCCGGTGTGTGATTGACAGCTGAGTGGACTGAGCGGAGGATTACTGACAACGCCTCGTTGACAAAGATAAAGATAAGGGAGATGTTTGGAAGTTCCCTGGGGAAGCTGGCCTTTTTACACCTGGAGACCACACACACACTCACGTACAAAGACATATGCAGACACACACACACACACACACAGAGAGAGAGACATTCACACACATCATTAGCTATCATCACTATTGACATCAAACACTAATACTTCCTTGTATATTATAATTAAACGCAAACGGTGAGTCCATCATTCAATGTTCAGTAACATGGTACTTGAACCCTCCTATATAAAGCTAATGTATTAAGTAGCCCTATATAATAATATGCATATAATATAATGTAGCCCACCCTTATGGCGGAGGGCTCATATAAAGTACTACCCAACATTCTAATGTAGGTTTCCAAGTTTATTAACACCACGCAAGATGCTTCTTCTCCAAGTCTCTTCTGTACATTATGATCCCTGTTGATGAGCTCACACATTTTTGTTTGCAAATGAAAATGAGAACCATGTGCCTCTTTCTGTTCCCCACAATCACATTTTTCAAAACACGCATGCACACACCCCCTCTCCCTAGGCTCACAGTAAGTGCACTGTGGGAGACGGAGATAAGAGGCCTATTTTTATTGTAGCTTTTGTTATAACGAGAGCCAGCCTTAATGAGAGGAAGTGAGGAATCTGTGGCTGGCTATGTCCTAATAGTTCAAAGAGGCTTTTGTTTTGGAGTTTTTACTCTTCGACTGTGTATAGGTATCTATCCTTCCCCTTATCGCCTTTCCCTCATCTGCACTGGTTTTAAAGAAATGGACAGGTGAGAGCAAGTCAACAAGCGTGAGCCAGTCAGCAGTCACTTTCGACTGAGATACACCCGAAGAATTGTGATACAGTACATCCCGGTAAGTAAGGAAAGGATTGGGTGATTTTAGTCAACTCAATCAAACATTTTCTGTGTGCTGATGGGTGGTGTACACGCACAAGCATAATGTGTGTGTGTGTGTGTGTGTGTGTGTGTGTGCGCGCGCGTGTGTGTGCAGTGGTGTAAAGTACTTAAGTAAAAATTATTTTAAATACTACTTAAGTAGTTATTTTGTGTATCTGTATTGTACTATTTATATTTTTGATCACTTTTACTTTTACTTCACTACATTCCTAAAGAAAATAATGTACCTTTTACTTCAAACATTTTCCGTGACACTCAAAAGTACTCGTTACATTTTGAATGCTTAGCAGTACAGGACAAGGGTCCAATTCACACAGTTATCAAGAGAACATCCCTGGTCATCCCTACTGCCTCTGATCTAGCGGACTCACTAAACAGAAATGCTTCATTTCTAACCCCCCTTGGCATTTTTCCTATTCTGTTGCCTTACAATCTGGATTTGTTGGGGGTTTGTACAACATGCCTATCACTTTGAAGATGCACAAAAATGTTTTGTTGTTGAAACAAACAAGAAATAAGACAAAAAAAACAGAAAACATGAGCGTGCATAACTATTCACCCCCCCCTCCCCCCCCCCAAAGTCAATACTTTGTAGAGACACCTTTTGCAGCAATTACAGCTGCAAGTCTCTTGGGGTATGTCTTTATAAGCTTGGCACATCTAGCCACTGGGATTTTTGCCCATTCTTCAAGGCAAAACTGCTCCAGCTCCTTCAAGTTGGATGGGTTCCGCTGGTGTACAGCAATCTTTAAGTCATACCACAGATTCTCAATTGGATTGAGGTTTGGGCTTTGACTAGGCCATTCCAAGACATTTAAATGTTTCCCCTTAAACCACTCGAGTGTTGCTTTAGCAGTATACTTAGGGTCATTGTCCTGCTGGAAGGTGTCTCAAATCTCTGGAAGACTGAAACAGGTTTCCCTCAAGAATTTCCTTGTATTTAGCGCCATCCATAATTCTTTCAATTCTGACCAGTTTCCCAGTCCCTGCTGATGAAAAACATCCCCACAGCATGATGCTGCCACCACCATGCTTCATTGTGGGGATGGTGTTCTCGGGGTAATGAGAGGTGTTGGGTTTGCGCCAGACATAGCGTTTTTCTTGATGGCCAAAAATATCAATTTTAGTCTCATCTGACCAGAGTACCTTCTTCCATATGTTTGGGGTGTCTCCCACGTGCCTTTTGGCGAACACCAAACGTGTTTGCTTCTTTTTTTCTTTAAGCAATGGCTTTTTTCTGGCCACTCTTCCGTAAAGCCCAGCTCTGTGGAGTGTACAGCTTAAAGTGGTCCTATGGACAGATACTCCAATCTCCGCTGTGGAGCTCTGCAGCTCCTTCAGGGTTATCTTTGGCCTCTTTGTTGTCTCTCTGATTAATGTCCTCCTTGCCTGGTGCGTGAGTTTTGGTGGGCGGCCCTCTCTTGACAGATTTGTTGTGGTGCCATATTCTTTCCATTTTTTAATAATGGATTTAATGGTGCTCCGTGGGATGTTCAAAGTTTCGGATATTTTTTTATAAACCAACCCTGATCTGTACTTCTCCACAACTTTGTCCCTTAACTGTTTGGAGAGCTCCTTGGTCTTCATGGTGCCGCTTGCTTGGTGGTTCCCCTTGCTTAGTGGTGTTGCAGACTCTGGGGCCTTTCAGAACGGGTGTATATATACTGAGATCATGTGACACTTAAATAAAGTCCACCTGTGTGCAATCTAACTAATTATGTGACTTCTGAAGGTAATTGGTTGCACCAGATCTTATTTAGGGGCTTCATAGCAAAGGGGATGAATACATATGCACGCACCACTTTTCTGTTATTTATTTTGTATAATTTATTTTAACAAGTTATTATTTTAATTTCACTTGACCAATTTGGACTATTTTGTGTATGTCCATTACATGAAATCCAAATAAAAATCTATTTAAATTACAGGTTGTAATGCAACTGTCACGTTCGTTGTATAAAGGATCGGACCAAGGTGCAGCGTGGTATGCGTACATGTTTAATTATTTAAATAAACACTTGACAAAATAACAAAAGCAACTGAACGTGAAGTTCTAAACGCTAACAGCAACAAGCCTAAACAGAAACCGAATCAAAAACAAGATCCCACAACTAAAGGTAGGCAAAATGGCTGCCTAAGTATGATCCCCAATCAGAGACAACGATCGACAGCTGCCTCTGATTGGGAACCACACCCGGCCAACATAGAAATAGAATAAACTAGATTCTATCCAAATCACACCCTGACCTAACCAAACAGAGAATACAGGTGATCTCTAAGGTCAGGGCGTGACAGCAACAAAATAGGAAAAATGCCAAGGGGGATGAATACTTTTGCAAGGCACTGTAAATCAAAAATCAAAAATCAAATGGTGCCATCTGGTTTGCCTAATATAAGAAATTTGAAATTATTTATACTTTTATGTTTACTTTTGATACTTAGGTATATTTTAGAAATTATATTTACTTTTTACACTTAAGTATATTTAAAACCCAATACTTTTAGACTTTTACTCAAGTAGTATTTTACTGGGTGACTTTCACTTTTACTTGAGTAATTTTCTATTAAGGTATCTTTACTTTTACTCAAGTATGACAATTGGGTACTTTTTCCACCACTGTGTGTGTGTATGTGTGTATGTGTGTGTGTGTGTGTGTGTGTGTGTGTATGGGTGTGTGTGTGTGTGGACGTGTTTAACTATTCTTGTGGGGACCAGAAGTCCAAACAAGAATAGTAAACGAACAAAAATTTGACCAACTGGGGACATTTTGTTGGTCCCCACGAGGTCAAATGCTATTTCTAGGGGGTTTAGGGTTAAGGTTAGAATTAGTGTTAGAATTACGTTAACGGTTAGGGTTAGGAGCTAGGGTTAGTTTTAGGGTTTGGGTTAGGAGCTAGGGTTAGGTTTAGGGTTAGGGTTAAGGTTAGATTATTGGGATACGTTTAGGGTTAGGGTAAGGGTAAGGGTTAGGTTTAGGGTTAATAGGATTTTGAATGGGACTGAATTGTGTGTCCCCACAAGGTTAGTTGTACAAGACTGTGTGTGTGTGTGTGTGTGTGTGTGTGTGTGTGTGTGTGTGTGTGTGTGTGTGTGTGTGTGTGTGTGCATCTAGCGTGCGTGCACGTGTCAATTGCCGCATTAGACTGCAACTTCATCAATAAATAACACTAAAAAAAGCACAACAAAGAAAGCGGGATTAGGCTACAGAGATATTACTAGATGGTTTTAAGAATATTGTATTTTTAACCACAAAGCTAAGTGGTGCCCAAAACAATAACATCTGCTGTCATAGCTTTAATCATTAGTCTCTCCGACCATGGCAACAACCCAGTAGCAGCGAAACAACTAACAACGCAAAGTATACACTACCATGTTTATGACTTCTGATTAGAGCATGAACCCAAGATTTGGCTGAGATCCTGATATGGGTATCAACTAATACAAAGTGCACCCACACACACACACACAGACTAATGCTTGCAACTTGCAGCTTACAAACCCAAACGTGATGTTTTGACACAATCCTATGTCAAAGCCTGGATTGGTCTTTGGAAAAAGATAAAAGCACATGAAAATTGTAGCGGGTCTATTGTCCTGAAAAATGGTCGTCATCTGAGCTACAGTAAGAGTGGCCCTGGTCAAAAGTAATGCTGCACTTTATAAGGAATAGAATGCCATTACGGGCCAAAAAGAGTGCACTATAGGGTGCCTAAAACTTACTTGCTGGGCCGGTAGTCTGGTATGGACCGATCCAGTGATATCTTTTGGCTGAGGTAAGCATTGTATCCATACTTCTCCCTCAGTACTTTGGCGTCGGCCTCTTCTTTTGGGGCTAGGGTGGCGGGGAGACCCCCTTTACCTCGCCCCCCGAAACCCTCGATCAGCCCCAGGGACTTGGACAGACCTGGAGTTCACACAGTCAAGAAAAGGTCACTATGCTATAACACATTTACTTTTAACAAAGGAGGTAGCTGTATACTAAACCTACAGTGAGGGAAAAAAGTATTTGATCCCCTGCTGATTTTGTACGTTTGCCCACTGACAAAGAAATTATCAGTCTATAATTTTAATGGTAGGTATATTTGAACAGTGAGAGACAGAATAACAACAAAAAAATCCAGAAAAACGCATGTCAAAAATGTTATAAATTGATTTGCATTTTAATGAGGGAAATAAGTATTTGACCCCCTCTCAATCAGAAAGATGTCTGGCTTCCAGGTGTATTTTATACAGGTAACGAGCTGAGATTAGGAGCACACTCTTAAAGGGAGTGCTCCTAATCTCAGTTTGTTACCTGTATAAAAGACACCTGTACACAGAAGCAATCAATCAATCAGATTCCAAACTCTCCACCATGGCCAAGACCAAAGAGCTCTCCAAGGTTGTCAGGGACAAGATTGTAGACCTACACAAGGCTGGAATGGGCTACAAGACCATCGCCAAGCAGTTTGGTGAGAAGGTGACAACAGTTGGTGTGATTATTCGCAAATGGAAAAAACACAAAAGACCTGTCAATCTCCCTCGGCCTGGGGCTCCATGCAAGATCTCACCTTGTGGAGTTGCAATGATCATGAGAGCGGTGAGGAATCAGCCCATAACTACACGGGAGGATCTTGTCAATGATCTCAAGGTAGCTGGGACCATAGTCACCAAGAAAACAATTGGTAACACACTACGCCGTGAAGGACTGAAATCCTGCAGCGCCCGCAAGATCCCCCTGCTCAAGAAAGCATATATACATGCCCGTCAGAAGTTTGCCAATGAACATCTGAATGATTCAGAGGAGAACTGGGTGAAAGTGTTGTGGTCAGATGAGACCAAAATCGAGCTCTTTGGCCTCAACTCAACTCGCTGTGTTTGGAGGAGAAGGAATGCTGCCTATGACCCCAAGAACACCATCTCCACCGTCAAACATGGAGGTGGAAATATTATGCTTTGTGGGTGTTTTTCTGCTAAGGGGACAGGACAACTTCACCGCATCAAAGGGACGATGGACGGGGCCATGTACCGTCAAATCTTGGGTGAGAACCTCCTTCCCTCAGCCAGGGCATTGAAAATGGGTCGTGGATGGGTATTCCAACATGACAATGGCTCAAGAAGAAGCACATTAAGGTCCTGGAGTGGCCTAGCCAGTCTCCAGACCTTAATCCCATAGAAAATCTGTGGAGGAAGCTGAAGGTTCGAGTTGCCAAATGTCAGCCTCGAAACCTTAATGACTTGGAGAAGATCTGCAAAGAGGAGTGGGACAAAATCCCTCTTGAGATGTGTGCAAACCTGGTGGCCAACTACAATAAACGTCTGACCTCTGTGATTGCTAACAAGGGTTTTGCCACCAAGTACTAAGTCATGTTTTGCAGAGGGGTCAAATACTTATTTCCCTCATTAAAATGCAAATCAATTCCTAACTTTTTTGACATGCGTTTTTCTGCATTTTTTTGTTGTTATTCTGTCTCTCACTGTTCAAATAAATCTACCATTAAAATTATAGACTGATAATTTCTTTGTCAGTGGGCAAACATACAAAATCAGCAGGGGATCAAATACTTTTTTCCCTCACTGTATGTCCCAAATGGCACCCTATCCCCTATATAGTGCACTACCCCGTGGGCCCTGGTCAAAAGTAGTAGTACACTAATTATAGAGTGCCATTTGGGATGGATCCTAAGCCTCAGCCTATGTAAATAACAGCAATCATGGTAGATTTTGAGTGACAGCAAATAAAAAGTAACCAATGAGCCATAGTCATTGTTTTTAAGTGGGTAGGCTAGAGTGCTAGAGTCATAGCCTACCATTAAGCTGTCTGTAGACCACGTCCTCCAATGACCCGAGTCTCTTTAGTAATACTTCATGACTGATGCTCAAACCTTGAGCCGTGCCGTTAGAGCGTGATTGTCTTTTCACATCGTCCTGACCGATGGTTTTTGTCACTCGGGTGTGGGTGCACTTGGTCCAAAGTGTCATGAACCCCGCAACCGCAATCACGTTCAACACCAATAACACTCTCCATCTTCTGAACACAAAAGCCATTAAAGTTGTTGATGTCCGGGATCCAAATAGCAGTGTTTTTGGAATGATTCAGGACAAATTCAAGAGTCCTCCTCGTTGCGATGCGCAATAAGGTTCAATGTAGATTTGTGTTGATGAAGGCATTTTTTAAATATATATACATTAGGCGACATTCCACCTGGAGAAGCTGGTGCTGCAAATCAACAGTAGATAATTGCTATGAACTCAGTGTGCGCATTGATAGGCTAGGCTACTATCTGCTGGACAGAGAAACAAAACTGAAACATAGGCTCTATTTCAGATTTCGATTGCTCATATTTTAACATAACGTAGACTAATTACAACATTTCACTAATAAGCTTTAACCACCTACCATTTCGCATTGGAGCAATTTTTAGGCTGCGTCCTCGTGCAGAGTAATTTTGGAGCCTGGTCATGGGCTCTCATCCGTGACTTCTCTGTTTAAAATGTATTGTTAGAAGATCATGCATAGAAGATGTTAGACAAAGAGACTAGCATATCTTCAGTTTTGAAGAGTCCATAGTCTGAAATATTTAAAGAGTCAGAAGGCTATCTCAAGTCTGTCTTTCTTTGCATCCAGCAGAAGTGGGCTATGACGCGATTGAGGAGTACTGCGTATTGAGCCGCTGTCTGTCTCTGACCGCGGTCTTTAAAATCATAGCAGATAAATACTGACCACATAAAACGCATAGGCCTATCCCATGTTTAAGCATTCTCTGTGCAGCTTTGATCCTCCATGTGTAGGACAAATAATTGTGAGATGTTTTGAGCGGTGCATTGCACGAATAGACTGCTACACAGCCAGCCAGCCTAAAATATAAAGGTCCGCAGACGCAGCATCGCCAATGGAAGACACCTCAAATGTAGCACAGAAATGCAGCTGAAATAATTCCAGCCGAGGTGTCTTCTCACATTCTGACTATTCATAAATAATGCTAAACGTTTTTCCCCTGTACCCTTATTCTCGTCGTTTTGTTATTATGTCCTGTTATTTAATTTAGCATAATTCTTCCTATGCGCTAGATAGCGCTTAATAATGGCGCACAGGAAAACACGGAATGGAATTCCTAGGAAGAGATTCGTTTTGAGCGTGCCTGGTGAGTGTAGCAGTGAATAAAGCAGTTCGTTGATGCGGGTGGGTGGGTTGAGTTGACTCACACCAATGACCTGCAATTGTAGTGCATTCAAATCATATTTTGTCTGAAACTTTCCTCCCATGATTATTGTAGGCTACTGTAAGCCTATATCCCAAGTGAAATAATGTGTTTGGGTGGGTTGAGTTGACTCACACCAATGACCTGCAATTATAGTGCATTCAAATCATATTTTGTCTGAAACTTTCCTCCCATGATTATTGTAGGCTACTGTAAGCCTATATCCCAAGTGAAATAATGTGTTTGGGTGGGTTGAGTTGACTCACACCAATGACCTGCAATTATAGTGCATTCAAATCATATTTTGTCTGAAACTTTCCTCCCATGATTATTGTAGGCTACTGTAAGCCTATATCCCAAGTGAAATAATGTGTTTGAAATAACATAAAACTGTGATATAATGAACATAATTTCCCCCACTTCTATCTTCCAAAGACTTTCAATGAAGACATAGGCCTACCTATTTTACAATTATAAAGCTTTTCAGAATACTGACATCGTTTTTATTCTGCTATTTAAATGTAATTATTGCATGCTTAAAAAGACAGCAAAGGCTGCAGATCTGACTTTTCTGGACCCCTCTAGCCTGGACCCCTTTTCTCAACAGCTAAAGTTCCCGAAGCTTCTGTGCATGTGTAGGATTGTCAACTTTACAACACAGTCTCTGCTCTACTTGTAGAGAACCTCAATTCACATTTCCACTCTCAATCGTGAATGATAATTCTTTAAGTTTTACAGGTGAAAGGTCCATGCAGCATCCAACCTGCATACCAACCATTTTATCTCAGTTTAATGGGGACGCATTTAGATCTTCTTGAGTTATATGTTTCGAAGTAGCCTACAGTGTTGTTTTGAATTAGGGCTGCAGTCTGCGGCCGACAGAGATCATTGCGGCATGGTTGGCATTTTTCATTCTGCAGATGGGAGCGGGCTGTCAGACAGACCATTTTGGGATAAATTTTTTTGTTCTTCCGCAGATTATTTGGAAACAGTCGTCTTTCTGCTTTGTATGCATTAGTCTACCTATTGTATTAAAAACACATCTTTGTCACATTATTCACACACTCTCAGCATTCACTGCTTCAAGTTCTAACCTACCTCTCCTTTTCTATAGGCTATAGCCTATGCATAGGCAAAGAATCACGTGGCAGTTATCTTTCCAAAGAAATTAACTTAAATATGATTAGGCTATAGTTGAAATGGCAAGATGGTGCCGACAGACATGGCAGCTCTGCTTCTAGCTCCTAAGCAACTTTGCAGTATTTTTTGTTGTTGTTGTTATTTCTTACATTATTTGCCCAGAATGTTTTTTTGTGTTATTCCATACAGCTGGAAATAACTTTTGGATATCAGAGCGGTAACTCACCAGCATTACGACCAGGAATACGACTTTCCCAAATTGGATCCTTTGTTCGTACGCCCAAGGGCAATTTAACTTATCCCAGAGGCTGCTCCAAGACGCCGCCGGTGGAGAAGCGGTATTCGGAGTGAACTTCTAGTCCGACTCAGGAGGCGGGCACACCATCCACTGCTTCGGAGTATATTACTCGCTAATGTTCAATCTCTGGACAATAAAGTAGACGAGCTCAGGGCGAGGATCTTCTTCCAGATAGACATCAGGGACTGTAACATACTCTGTTTCACGGAATCATGGCTCTCTTGGGATATACTGTCCATACAGCCAGCTGGGTTCTCAGTTCATCGCACAGACAGGAATAAAGAACTCTCCTGGAAGAAGAAAGGCGGGTGTGTATGTTTCATTATTAACTACTCATGGTGTGATTGTGATAACATACAGAAACTCAAGTCCTTTTGTTCACCCGACCTACAATACCTCACAATCAAATGCCGACCGTATTACCTCCCAAGATAATTCTCTTCAGTTATAGTCACAGCCGTGTATATTCCCCCTCAAGCCAATACCACGACAGCCCTCAAGGAACTACACTGGACTTTATGCAAACTAGAAACCACATATCCTGAGGCCGCATTTATTGTAGCTGGGGATTTTAGCAAAGCAAATTTGAGAAAAATGCTACCGACGTTCTATCAACACATTGACTGTAGTGTATAGGGGATGTTGATCCCATGGTGACTATTAAAACCTACCCAAAACAGAAACCGTGGATAGATGGCAGCATTCGCGCAAAACTGAGGGTGTATTAAAAGCGGGGACACCCTAGACCCACTTCAATTTGCTTACCGCCCCAATAGATCCACAGACGATGCAATCGCCATTGCACTGCACACTGCCCTATCCCATCTGGACAAGAGGAATACCTACGTCAGAATGCTGTTCATTGACTATAGCTCAGCCTTCAACACTATAGTACCCTCCAAGCTCATCATTAAGCTCGGGCCCTGGGTCTGAACCCCACCCTGTGCAACTGGGTCCTGGACTTCCTGACGGGCCGCCCCCAGGTGGTGAAGGTAGGAAGCAACACCTCCAGTTCGCTGATCCTAAACACAGGGGCCCCACAAGGGTGCGTGCTCAGTCCCCTCCTGTACTCCCTGTTCACCCATGACTGCATGGCCACGCACGCCTCCAACTCAATCATTAAGTTTGCAGACGACACAATAGTAGTAGGCCTGATTACCAACAATGACGAGACAGTCTACAGGGAGGAGGTGAGGGCCCTGGCGGAGTGGTGCCAGGAAAATAACCTCTCCCTCAACGTCAACAAAACTAAGGAGCTGATCGTGGACTTCAGGAAACAGCAGAGGGAGCACGCCCCTATCCACATCGACGGGACCGCAGTGGAGAAGGTGAAAAGCTTCAAGTTCCTCGGCGTACACGTCACTGACAATCTGAAATGTTCCACCCACACAGACAGTGTGGTGAAGAAGGCGCAACAGTGCCTCTTCAACCTCAGGAGGCTGAAGACATTCGGCTTGGCCCCCTCACAAACTTTTATAGATGCACAATTGAGAGCATCCTGTCGGGCTGTATCACTGCCTGGTACGGCAACTGCACCGCCCGCAACCGCAGGGCTCTCCAGAGGGTGGTGCGGTCTGCCCAACGCATCACCGGGGGCACACTGCCAGCCCTCCAGGACACCTACAGCACCCGATGTCAAAGGAAGGCCAACAAGATCATTAAGGACATCAACCACCCGAGCCACGGCCTGTTCACCCCGCTATCATCCAGAAGACAAGGTCAGTACAGGTGCATCAAAGCTGGGACAGAGAGAATGAAAAACAGCTTCTATCTCAAGGCCATCAGACTGTTAAATAGCCTTCACTAGCCGGCTACAACCCGGTTACTCAACCCTGCACCTTAGAGGCTGCTACCCTATATACATAGACATGGAATCACTGGCCACTTTAATAATGTCTACATACTGCTTTACTCATCTCTATGTATATACTCTATTCTATCCTACTGTATTTTAGTCAATGCCACTCCGACATTGCTCATCCTAATATTTTTTATATATTTTTTCTTTTACTTTTAGTTTTGTCGATTGTTGTGAATTGTTAGATACTACTACACTGTTGGAGCTAGAAACACAAGCCTTTCGCTACACCCGCAGTAACATCTGCTAAATATGTGTATGTGACCAATACAATTTGTTTTGATTAGATTTTTTGTTTAGGCTACTATTGTCTGTAAATAAATATTGATAATGGAAAGAAGTGGCGGGCACTCAACCAACGTGAGTCGAGGTGCAATCCAAAAAAATTATTATTATTGAAAAGCAAAAGGCGCAACATTGGCATACTGTGGTGAGCGAGAGTTGCGCCATTTATTTGTCTCTGCCTGTAAATTGTCCGGCTCATAAAAGGTAGGCTATACCCTATATGCAAAATGTAGCTCAAGAGAAAGTGCAAGTGTCCAGCTCTCATCATTCTTGCTGCTCAAGTTCAGTAGCCTACCTTGCCTCTCCTAGTTGGGTGTGCGAGATCAGGTGTGCGTGTGGTATCAATTAAATAGAGTAGGCTAAATGCATGGGTGGAGAAGCACGGGGCAGTTATCTTTTCAAGGAAATTAATTTCCTAATTATGATAAGGGATATAGTTTTCTACATTGCCTGGAAATAAATATTGATCACCCATAACTGTCTGAAAATCATTCCAGTCTGTCACGCCCTGACTCTGAGGACTCTTATTTGTTGAGTCAGGGTGTGATTTTCCTTGTTGTGTATATTCATTGTGGTGATGTTCTATGTTGGATTTTCTATGTTTAGATCTAGGATGTCTAGATCTATGTTGGCCGGTGTGGTTCCCAATCAGAGGCAGCTGTCGCTCGTTGTCTCTGATTGGGGACCATACTTAGGCAGCCTATTGGCACTAGTTAGTTGTGGGATCTTGTTCCGTGTTAAGGTATGTTGTGTTGCCTTGGACTTCACGTATCGTTTGTTTATTGTTTTGTCGTTGTGTTTATTCGTTAATAAACATGTATGCATATCACGCTGTGCCTTGGTCCGTCCCGTCTGTAAACGATCGTGACACACTCCTAAAAAGGTAGGCTATACGCAAAACGTAGCTCAAGATAGAAAGTGCAAGTGTCCGCTCTCGCTCCAACTCTGCTCTCTTCAAACTATGCCTAGCTTATTGGCTAATATAGCCCAGCAATACTGTTACATTAGCTTAATATAATAGGCCACGTGAAAATCTCTGGTAATTTAAGCTATTTCTTAGGTTATTTTTGCACATTTTGACATTGCCTATAAGGCGCAAAATTGCTGTGACCATGGCTGCCAAGCGAGCTGCGTCACATATGCCTACAATTGTCACATCTGCTCATGCAACGCCCTCTACTGCTCATCCTGTGTCTCCTTGACCGGCCGCCA